GGAGGGGCCCAGGCCAGCGTCTGCCTGGGCACAGCTTCGGCACACACGCGCCGAGCCTCTGTAAATCTCCACAAACACAGCGGCCGCCTGCACACGCTCCCACGACGGGGACGCAAGGGCTGCATATGGCACACGGTTTTAACAGCTGAGCTTTAAAAAAAGTGCAGCTTTTTCATCTCACTGAACCAGCTCCCAAATTAGGAGGTGGAGGGGCGACTGCGGGGTGGGGGCGAGGGGCAGGGAAAAAAAGGAAACCGGGATGGGAAGAGGCAGCCTTCAACAATAAATTTGATTTTACAAGAAATTTCAGGCTGGTATCTGCTCCAAAGCTCCCTTTGGAAATTGAAATAATGCTCTCAGCAGGTCATCACCAAGTTTGCTAATTTATATTGTCTAAAAAATAACTTGCATCCTTTTTTTTTTCTCTGACAAAAATGAAAATGAATCTAGGACTGAGTCACACCCGTGCTTTAGACCAGGTTAAAAAATTTTAAGTCAATTTATAAATGGGATTATTGTTTTCCAGAGTTCTGCTCTGCAAAGAGATTAGTGGCCACCCTGCCCAGCGGGTATTGCCTGGTCCTTCTGATTCCCTGCCTGGAGGTGCAAGTGGCTGGAAAGGAACTGGAAGAAGGAGCCTGATACCCACACTTTTCCCGGAATTGCCTGCAAACTTGTACTTTCTGTTTCCTCCGCTGATAATGACTGTCTTAGGCTCTGCAGCCAGCTCCCTCTCCCCCTCCCAGCCCCCTGTTGCTGCAGCCATCCCTGAGCTCCAGTATAAAGTTTGGCTTTTGCAGCAGGAAGCAGCTGGGCCAAGCAACCAGCGAATGATAATGACCTCAGAAATCTGCTGTTCGCTCGGCAACAATAGGGTGCTCAGTCTACTGGAAAATTGTGTTCATCAGCTAACTCTGCTCAGTTACTAATTGACATTGCCAAATATTTTAAGAACAATTGGAATGCACAAGCAAAAAAAAAAAAAATGAAGATCTTAATCCTCAGACTTAAAATTTTTTCTTTCTTTCTTCCTTTTTTCTTTTCTTTCTTTCTTTTTTTTCTTCTTTTTCTTCTTTTGGGTGCCTGCATTTGTTTGTGTGGAGCAGGCAGTGGTTATCATGAATGGGGGTGGGGAAGGGGAGCCACAGGAGAAAAAGAGGTGGAAAAGAAAGAAAATCTATCATATCACTATTCACCCGATGTAAATGCAAGGAGCTCTGGATAAAGGCTTTTGAGGCTGTGGTCAATTGGCATACACAGGATGGAGACCCAGCATCTCAGGAATGCGGCTCAGGCACAAAAGAAGACCCTGCAGGGCTTTTAGCCCAGCTGATCAAATAATTCTTGTCCATCTCAAAATATTATAGCACAAGAAGTAGGGGTTAATGATATTTTCATCTTTGCATCTCTCCCTGGCTTTCCATTGATCAGGCAACTTAGTTGACTTTATTTAATGAACAGAGGGTCAATGCATTCAATTACCCCCTTCCCGCCATCAACACTTCAATTATCCCCACTCCAAAATTATGGGGAATTCGGAAGGTAACTGCCCTGTTGGATATAATGAACAGTATCGTTTCTTAGTACATTAAGTTTTAATTATTCAAAGTGCGATTTCCAAAGCAAAATCTGAAGAAACAGAACTTTGGTCGTTTTCTGACTCAGAGCAAAGCCAGGATCCAAGATCAGTCTTAGAGGAGGGTTTTGGGGGAAGATGCAAAGATTAATGCCATCAGAGCGCTTGCACGCAAGCCAGAAATGAGAAGGCATCAAAACAGCCGCCCCACTCTCTAAATGTCATAAAAGAGTAAAATTTATAAGCTGCCGCTTTCCAAATAGTTTCCCTTTGCATTGTACATGGAGACAGAAATGACATCTACCATGGTGTGAAATTATTGGTGAGTCAAATCAACAACAACAACAAAAATAAAACAAAGGAAAGAGATGGGGAAGTGATCTGTGTGACTAGTTTTGTCCATTTTCTGTTAGAAAATATGACCTCTCAATTTGTCAAAGGTCCTGGTTTTCGCAGTTGATCTTAAGCTTGGTTCTCAGCAGTTTGGAGAGCCAAAGAACAAACACATTTTCTGGTTCACTGGAATCATTTTCACATGTTCACTGATTCAAACATTCTTTTGCTCACATAACAAACAGCTGCATCCCACATTAGCCTAGCCAGTGACAGTCACCCATCTCGGCAATAACTGTTTGATTGCAAACTTGACCCCTTCTTCGTCTCGGTCTGAGCAAGACATTTTTAAACAGCCACTCCGTTCCCAATCCTCCTTTGCAAAGAATTACATCAGATAACAAAGGACGTCTCTGCCACTCATTGTAAGCCTTCTTCTAGAGATCTGTTCTAAGAGGCTCTGGTAAAAAGGTTTTTATGATGAATTCAGAACTACTATCATGTTAAGAGCAGCGATTTATAAAGAAGAATTCGTTGGTTAAGATCTGAAAAAATAGTTTCTCAGGCCCTACTGACCCAGTTTTCAACAAAAAAAGAATCAAGTGATGCAAATTAAGTTTTGTGACATTGTTATGCAGTCTGAGAAATTTGTAGAACCGTGTTTTGCAGTTATTTCTTAATGGAAGCCTTAATAAGTACTTCTTTCTTTACTTAAGGGCTTAAAATTTTTTTCTTTTCCTTCACCTTGCAGGTTTCTCTCTAACAGGTAATAATAAAATACCTATTGTGTCAAGATTTTTATTTAAATTCTTATTTTAATAGCACTTTATACAAGTAATACTTGTTTAAAAATAAGAAGGGAAACTAACCAGATTTGGTTGAGAGTCCTAAATCCCAAGAAAACCTGAATGCCCCAGACGTGCAGCTGACTTAGGCTGCATATTGGTATGCCATCAATTTTCGTACTTAGTCAGAAAATTATGAAAGGGTCTAATTTGAATATGAAGAAAACAAAGAAGTCAACCAGAAACGAAAGAATCAGTATTCTCAATTGTAAAATCCTTCAATGAAGGGAAATAAAAGTGAGAAGATAACCGCAACTCAAGTATAATTCTCTTTTGAGTCATGAGCACGGTTGGTTCTTTTAAGCAAAATGGGTTTTTTCAGCGGGGTATTTAGAGATGGGAAAGCAACAGAGACAGGAATAGCACGAGGCTATCACTTGGCCAGAAGGTGAGAAAAACATGGTAAACAGGTCATTAATGAAGCCGAGCATTTGGTGGCAGAATATTCTGTAGAGACCTCTTTTCAGCAGGTGTGGGAGAGAGGTGGAAATCTGCAGATGCTAACCCCACGAACTCCAAAAACTTAGGGGTGCCAATTTGCTCTTTGAAAGGTCTCCAATCCAAGAACGGTTGAGACTACTCCCCAGAAGAGGCCTCATCCTACAAGGCTGCAAGGAGTCTCTCCCCAAGGACAGCAGGGAGATGCATAGCACCTGCTGCCTCTGCAGTGTGGGGATCCATCTCTGCAGTAACCCCACCATCAGGCAGGACAATGTACAAGCCTTTCCCGAGTATCTGAAGATGCTCCATGTAGTATGACCTCATCTTTCCTCTGTGGTGCTCGTGTTCCTGGTTAGACTCTTCCAAAGTGTCTCAGTAGTAATAAATCGTAAGCAAGTCTGGGACTCCAGGAGTAGACAGTGTGTTTCATGGGTATTTAAGCAGCGGCATTAAGTGCTATCGGAATCTCAGGAATGTGCAGCTCAGATTTATGTGTCTTAACAATTCTTTCCTGGTTTGTAATAAGCTAGCATACCCACACTTTATTTTAATACTAATTTTGTCCTAGGAGAAGGGTAGGCTGAAGCATGACAACAACAACAAAACCAAACCAGCATCTACTTAATAACTAGAGCAGTAAATTGCCTCTAAGACTGAACTATTTATTGAAACTAAGAGGGAAAAAAAGAAGAGAAAACTTTTTTAAAAATGACCCTCAACAGTATGCTGCCACATCTTTAACAGTGGGCAACAGAGTGCCTCGAGGTGCCTCAAACTGTCTTTCATTTTCTAGACTTAATGGCTGATTGCAGAAATCAATGTTGCCATTAGTAACAGGGTATTTGTTATGGCATGATTTCCTCTGTTGTTAGGCGGCAGAATGATTACAGTATTAGCGAGGTGCTTTCTTTATAAAGGACTAGAGATATAACTTTCAATTTACTATCCATTAGTAAGGGACTTTGGAAATATGGATGAAGGCAACCTCTTACCTGCTGTTAGGTAGTGATTTTAATTCAGCCGTCTTAGGCTAGTGGTTTTTTTTTTTTTTTTTTTTTTTTTTTTTTAATGTTTTGATTTTTTTTCCCCAAACAGGGCCAGGATGCTTTATCATTTCACAGACATTTTGATGACAGATTTTCTGCTTTGCTATTTTAGACCCCAAAGCTGTGTTGGCCATGTAACACAGAACAATTTAAGATACACAGGCACGCATCTGGATTCCAAATCTCTGTGCCTGGCTAAACCATCAGAGGAAAACAGTGTGTCCTCCGGGTCATGTGGACCTGACAAGTGAACAAGGTGGGAATTCTGGAAGGGGACAGGAGATAAGTTTGGTCGGGAAAAGGACAGTAGGAGAGAATTTCTAAATGAGAAAATTGTGGGGCTATACTAAGAGGGGAGGGAGGACAAGCATTTGAGCCAGGGTCAGCACCTCTGTTTTGAAGATGAGGCTATGATAGAGGAGGGCAGGGTATAAATGGGGCTGAGCAAGTGAGGGCGAGAGCAAACTATGCCCCACTTAAAAGCATGCCATCTGGCCATCTCCACCCCGTGGAGAAGGATTCCTCATCTTTTCTGGGAGCCAGTGTTCAGGAAAAGGCCAATGAGTTGGAACCAAAGCCTACCCTTGCAGCAGGGCAGGTTGAAAGGCAGAGTGGCAGGGCTCAGCATCCCCCCAGTCACACCTGCCTGTGCAGCCACACTGACCTCAGAACCAACTTGAGAACATGTGCAGAGCCAGGCAGCCCTCCAGGCAGGGCCCTGTGCCAGCTGCTTGTCCCCCATCTTCCCAGCCAACCTACCTGAGGAGGATGGCGAGGAAGGATGAGGGCTGTCCTCCTGGGCACTCCCGGTCTGGGAGAGGCCACCTCCAACCCCGCTCTCCTCAGTAACATTGGAGGAGCCCGGCGTGGTAGATCGGCTCACCGACTGGGACTCTTGGTCACTGCCCGAGCCGCGCCGATCATCCAGGCCTGCGTGCAGCCCATCCTCATCCCCCCGGCGGTCCCGCTTGTGGACACGGGAATGGACGACCACCTGGTGGTAGGTGCGGAACACACGGCCACAGTCAGGGCACTCAGTGGGCTTTTCTTTTATGTTCCCGGGACCCTGCAGGTTATAGTCCAGCGTCTGGTTCAGCCCATGTGACAAAAAATCCCGACTGCCTTCTAAAGGGTCGAGCTTATTTGGCAGGTCTCTCTGATTGCCCACTTTAGTGCTGTGAACCAAATCAGCAGGCATTTTCTGCTTGGAGCCATCTGCTCCCACTAACACGTACTCCCGCTTCTCCTTATCAAACAGAACTCCGGCGGTTGCCAAAGCTTCTTCGTGGTTGCGCTGGAGCTGATGCTCTTTAGATAAGAAGCCATGTTCCATGGCCATGCCCCTGGCCATCAGCTGCCAAGCCTGGTAACTGTTCACCGGGTCCATCTCTGCAGCTTTGGCAGCCGCCTGCAACCGCTCAATGCAGCTGGATTTCAGCGGTGGCACGAGGTTGAGGCATCCCAGGAGTGAGTGTTTGTCACCGTCGGGGACACCGTGCGCCATGCTGGAGATGGGCGACAGCAGCTTCCCCAGCACCTCCTTCTCCTTCATGGGCAGCTCCCCCTTGCCATAGAGCTGGCCGGGCTCGCTGAGGCTGGCTTTGTCTGGGGCTATGAAGCCACTCTGCAGGCAGGAGAGGTACCTGGAGTACAGGTTGGCATGGGCCTCTTGGGACATGCCACCCATGGGCACAGGCACCTCGGGCTCACTGGGGGACTTGTTCTTCACCGATAGCTTGTTGAGGTGGACCTTCATATGATTTTTGAGGAACCAGGGCTCTTTGAAGCGCCGACCGCAGATCTGACAGCAATGCTCAAAAGAGTCTTTGTGCTTCCGCATGTGGCCTTTCAAGAACCACGCCTGGCTGAACACCTGGCCACACACCTCACAGCGGAACTCGTTGGCCGACTGCTCTCCGCCGCTGTTGGGGCCCTGGCCCTGTGCAGACTCAGCGGTGATGTGGGCCTTCTCCACGTGGCTGATGAGCTCCTCCTCCTGCGACGCTGCGAAGTCGCACAGCGTGCACTTGTAGGGCTTGTGCAGGATGCGAATGTGGCGGTCCAGCTCCTCCCGCTTCTTGAATTTGCCTTTGCAGAAAGTGCAGCGGAAGCCTGCGGCTGGGGCCACTGCGTCCTCCTGCACGTTGACGGGCTTAGGCGAGGGCACCGGGTTCGCCACGTCGGGCACATTGTGGTTGGCAGGCAGGGCCAGGTTGCAGGTGGCCAGCGGGGCCTGCTGTACGTGTGGCGGGGGCTTCAGGTCAGGCCGAGGCTGCAGCAGGCTGCTCTTCATCTGCTTGTCCCGCAGGATGGCCCTCTCCTCCAGCTCGTGCAGCAGGCGGTTCTCCTCGCGCACCCGCCCGCGCCCTTTCCCCAGGTTGCCCAGCTTGTGGGTCCGCAGGTGAATCTTGAGGTTGCCCTTCTGCGCCGCGCGGTGGTCGCAGTAAGGACATTTGAAGGGCTTCTCTCCCGTGTGGGTGCGCATGTGCAGAGACAGGATGCTGTTAAACCGGAAGCGCTTGCCGCAGAGAGGACACGGGTACTTGCGGTTTTTGCGCGCGTCGTCCTCGATGTCGCTCATCTGGGACATGATGCCCAGGTTCTGCCCGTTGAGGAACTGCTGCAGGTCCACGCGCCCATTGAGGCTGGTGTCCACATCGCGGCCCAGCTGATTAGCCAGGAGCGCCATCTGACTGCCCATGGGCTGGCCACTCATGGGCACGTGGGCCTTCTCATCCAGGGGTGCGGGGGCCTTCTCCTCAGGGTTGGGCCTCGGGTGCAGCTCCGGGAAGGCATGGCTGAGCTGTGAGGTGATCTGGTGTAGCTTCTGACTCATGGCATACTGGCCGTTAAGGACGGGGCTGCTCAGGTGGGGCTCAGCTTCAGGGGCCGCCGAGGACACTCCAAGGCACAGACTCGCTTCTTCCATCCCTAAAAATAAAGGCAGAGTTCAGATCTGTGCCAAGTACCGTGGTGGGGAGAAGCAACGGCATCAGCTGGTGGGGAATTTACATTTCATGCCTTACCTACACATAATAATGCTAAAGAATTATAGTCAAAAACAATAATAAAAAAATGAATTATTAAATGCCAATTATGCAATATGGCATTGCTCCTCCAATTTGTTTTGGCGATGGATCGTCTTCCTTGTATTTTCTATTTACAGACTGCAATTATTCATTCACATTTAAATTATTAACGTTTTACCACTTTCAACACCTAATAACAAATCAAGGGTCTACGTGTGAAACTTTTCCTTCTTTTCCCCCTTGTAGTACCTGTACCTGTTGGTTCAGTCCAAAGTTTGCCTTGGAACAGAATGGTTTTAACTGCAAGACCAAATAGACTCACCCAGAACTTTTGTTTCCATCTGCTGCTATACACTCACCAGTCTGAGATGAAAGAGATCGTTTTATGATTTGGCAAAAAAAAAAAAAAACCAATGGCATGATATTTACTGGTACATAATAAAACAAGATAATGTTTTGGGAAAAAATAAAGTAAAGGACAGGCTTTAGAACAATAAAAGGGATTTTGCTTTAGTCAACAAAAAGTGCAGTAATATCTCATTAAGCTGATTAGTATGCTGCTTAGAAACAGTACTAGGTGCTGTAACACATGATTATAATCATAAAAATCCTTCAGTGTTTGCAAGGAAGCATTAACGAGGTATATTAAATTTTAAGGAGACTGCGAGTAGCGGCTTTGCAAACCTCAGAGATTAAGATTTAACCCTTATGTTACGAAACACTGTTATTTTATCATTCGGTAACTGTGTCCATCAAAAGAAGTATAAATTATCCCCTGGTGGAATCATAGCGAATGTGGAGACTGCTCAAATTTGGGTGGAGGCGAAGACATCCCAGAATGGGCTCCTCCTGTCCTTCAACAGACAAGACAGCAAAGGCAGGGACTTTGATTGGACTTAAAGATCTTTTATAGAACTAAATAAAAACCAATTAAAATCCAAGGATGATGCCATAGGAAGTCTCAAGCAAGTTTGAGTGTTTTTAATAACTTTCCCAATATGCAGTAATGAGTACAAATTGTACCTGCAGTATGTGTTTTGCAGAAAATTAGAACTCAAAGCTGTTTACTAAACACTAACACTCAAAGCTAGTCTGTGTAATTGTCTTTAATAGTCTTCTCTGCCCCTCTGCAGCCTGTGCAGAATGAGAAAGCCAGGCCACTTCAGGTGAGTTGGAGGGTACAAATCCTCCACATCAGAGCCTTAAAGAGTTTGGCTTTGAAAGGCACAGAACCACCCCTGGTGTCCTATTTCCAGATAATGGCTTCCAACAGAAGGAGTCTGAATTCACTTCCTGCCTTCAGAATGGCTTGTGCATATCTCTCCTCTTTGTATCCCAATATTTAGACATGTTGGCCAGTCAAGTGGCCCAGGATTTATGTTTCAAACCAGCTAGAACTGAGGGGCCAAGCAACTCCCCAGGAAGTCTGTGGGGACAGAACCCAACTGTGGGTGCAACACGTCAGCCTTGGTGGAAGCTGCTGCTTGCTGGGATCCCACCAGAGACACTGTGCACAGCACTGAAGGTCCCAATAGAAGAACTGACCTCCTTGGCAAGAAGAGGAGCTGTGTGTTCATCTTGCAAAGGAAGAGAAGACAAAAAATGGGTGGCCAGGCATAGTGGCACACACCTGTAAGTACAGCATTCTGAGATGATGAGGCAGGAGAAGTGTAAGTTCTTACCCAGCCTGGGCAACTGTCTCAAAATAGAAAATTGTAAAAGGCCTAGGAATTTGAAGGTTTTAAGTTCAACCCTCAGTACAGAAAAAGGAAGGAACAGGATGGGGAAAGAGACATGGGTGTGTATTTCCAGGAGGGAGAAGGTCTGAAACCATTGCTAAGGACTAACTATGTCTGTGAATGGTGATGCAGACCACTGAGCATAGACACACATGCACTTAGAGGTACAAGGTTACTTATGAAAAAAGACTTCACACTTGCCATCTTTCCTTTCTGTTTTTTTGTTTGTTTGTTTTTTGTTTTTTTTTTTGTTTTTGTGGCAAATTTTTTAAAAAACAGGTCCATCATGAAGACTGGTCAGAAAGGAGCTAATTTCCCATGGGAATTTTTGCCTTCAGTCCACAAACCTGCTGAATTCTCACTGCATACCAGCCCCTATCACAAAGGACATGGTCATCGACAAACTGTCCAGCCCAGGACTCATGCCTAGCAGGAAGGAGCAGACCCAGAATAGAGAGGTTGCTCCAGGCAGGCATGAGCGGCCTCTAGGGTCCAGTCTGCATGCCTTTGTTCACCTACAAGCCCCAAGCAGCTGAGCTGGCTCCTCTCCTGAGCAAATACAGATTGTGACCCTGGAGCCACATGTGAGTTCTGAGAATTCCACCCAGAGGCTCTGTGAAGTTTGGAAAGTCCAAAGCCAACCCAGCTGGCCCATTTCCAAAAGTTGCCTAGTGGGCCAGCTCAGAAACCATGAATCCAGGAAGATGGGTTATATTCAGGTTGCTACGCATGCCAATTCAGCAGGAGACATAGGAGGCCAAATGTACAGTCCAGCAAGACCACAGATCAAGTTGATGAAGGGCTTCAAGTAGAATACCATGTGCCCTCCACCATCACCCATGCTGTGTGAGTAATAGCTTCACCTGCTAGCTGACAGACATGGAAGTTTTCAAGCTAAGTCTGAGTATGGAATTCTTTCATTTGCTCAAAAACAATAAATTTTTTTGGAGTTTAAAAACTATTTTAAACCCCTTTATGCGCGGGTCTTTGGATGCCATTGCTGATACTTCCGTAGACAGGGGAAAAGGATGTTCTAGAATGTGCTTCTTCAGCTCTTTGCTGAGTTGCCTTCTTGTCATGATGCAGGTCTGACCTCACATCTCTCCTTCTCTTTTGTGACCATTGTATTGGAAGTTGACACCCCTGCCTGTCTCCTAACTTTTTTCTTCATAACAATCACCCCTAGGGTAATATATCATTGGTCCACTTTATAGACAAGTTTCTTTTTCTTGAAAGCAAAGGTCAAGTCTGCCTTGGCTACGAAAAAGCCCTAGGGCTTGAATTGGAGAGGGTTTGCTTTGGTCAGTATTTCCTGCATGGGTGGAGGAATGACTAAATTGACCCTAGAAACACAGCCCATAAAAGAAGTCATCCTCAAAGGATGCTCAACTTGTGTGGCTCAGTTTCAGCTTTTGCACCAGCCCAGGAACATCTGCAATCAGCTGTGTGCCTGAAAGGGTCTTGAGCTACCACTCGGATGCTGAAAGTCTATAAACCAAGAAAAAGCCACTGCCAAGTGCCCATGGTGATCATCCCAGGCTTTGGTCACCTGTGATGCCATCACTGTTGGACCGACATTAGGAGACAAAGGGCAAGTATGACATTCAGAATTTGACAGATCACCACAGAGAAGACCCGAAGGTTTTTGAGGAAGATGGTTTTTAGGAGTAAACAAGCCTTGGAGAAGCCTGAAAAGAGCCTTAATGTGAGGTGTGGCTGTACCACATGTTCCCTGGTCATCTTCTGAGGTTCCACAAGCAGGTACAGCTGAAACTGCTGCTATAGGCAGTCATGACCAATGTCTTCTGCTCTGAATTCAGAGCAAAAAAGGGAGCAAAATTCTTGGAAAGAGTGTGGGGTAATTGGTGTGCTGTCCCTGGGCCAAAGCAGCCAAGGCAGGAAGAGCTGGCCCCAGGCCCAGCCTGGGTCTTACAAAACCTGGGTCAGCCCCAATTCCTCTATACTTCACTTATCCAGAAATTATTTACTACTTCCCTCATCTATTTAGTAAATATTTGTCAGAGACCACTTATGTACCTGGCCTTAAGCGCCTATGAGCCAAGGAGCCATTATAGGGAAGCAAGGAGAAGGTCCCCAAGACGCTGGATCCAAAGTTAGAGAGGAGAAACCAATGTAGTTACAGTATGTAGAGGCAGGGTGTGTATGCGTGTGTGTGTGCGTGTGTGTGTGCGTGTGTGTGTGCGTGTGCGTGTGCGTGTGTGTGTGTGTGTGTGTGTGTGTGTGTCTGGTGTACCATTGTGCATGTCAAGTACACATACATCCATGTTGAGAGAGAGACAGGGATTCCACAGCTGTGACACTCCAAAAACTGATATAAATGCCTACTTTGGGAAACTAAGGTAGTATTTCTCCTATCATTAAAGGTTTGGATCCGCCAGCTATAGTAGGAGCTCAGGAGACCAGAAGAGATGGGACAGTCCACAACAGCTCTTCTGTCGGGATAGAAGGTATTGTTAGTCCTTTTCCAGCCCTCTGGGGAGCAAGCACGTGGTGAATGCCTTCTATGGGGACCACACTGAGGCCACACTGAAGCCTCGCTGTGATGAATATCTATCTGTGTCTCTCAGGGACCTCCTGCTACTTCCCCACTTCTGCAGTCACGTCCTGCCAAGCAGGGCAGATGCACACATCCACACATATTGCTGTGCCTCCCTGGCCGGTTTCCAGGGAGCTTTTCAGCCCTTGCGTTCAAACACCCTTCACTTTGCAGCCCTGACTCTGAGTTTAGTGCTCCTGATCCCAAGCTTAGAGACCCACATCAAGAGGTCTGGGGCCAGCAGAGGGTGAGTCATGATCCTGGCTTAAAGGTGATTAAGCAACACACCTTCTGAGTAACAACTACAAGGATTCACTGGACCTCGCTCCAATGTAAGAAAACCCTAAACATAATTAAAAGCAAGAAAACAAACTACTAAACAATGAGAGCAGTTTGACCCTGGCCTTAAACTCATCATCCCAGCCCTAAGCATACAAGCAAGAGGATCAATAAACCCTGCTTGGCTGATGTAAGGAACCAATGAATACATGATTTACCTAAATCTAGAAAGGCTGCCAAAACACCCTGGAGTCAGTCAGAAGACCACTGTAAACACAAAAGCATCACAACACTCTACCTCAGTCTTGACCTATCTCAACCTCCTGG